GCATACTTTGAAGGATAGAAAAAAACAAAACCCGTCAAGTACTTCGTAGAACTCAACTTGCAGGTGCGATCTATGTACTGATTTACATTAATTCATAGAATTATAGAGTTAACTTACATTAGTTTCGATAAAGTTAAGAGGTGGATTCGAACAGGAGAACATAAGAGTAGAAGATATGTATACAAACCGTGCAACTAAAATAGTCGAATGATATAAGTGTTTGCTCTATTCTTATTTAGATGTCTTGTACAAATCTATGATTCAAAGAAATTTTGTTTCACGTCTGAATGAATCGATGAAAAATGATATTCTTTTTGCTGCTTTTATCCAAGGAAGAGCGTCATTTTCCGTCAATTTATATTAAATTTAACTTTTAGAAATTTAAATTTGTAAAACTTTATTTTTTTAAAGTTTAAATACCCAATTAAAATGAATTTAATTCCATATAAATTGAATTTGAAAATTTTAAAAAGATTAAATTTCGTAAATTTAAATTCAAAAGAACTGTAATCTTAATTATGCAAAACTTGCAAAGTTTTTGTTGGATTGAATGTTTTTTTGTACATGTAAATCCATGATCAGTAAATCCAAGTGCAATCATAACTACAAAAATATTTTTTCAGTAATTCGAACCTCTTTTATCAACAAGCCGCACTTACATACATCGATAGTGTACGAACGAAAGTGATATTCTAGTCATGTTTCGGAGAGTGTAATAATCAGTTACTATAACGCAGTCCATATATAAATTAACAATAATTATTATTATAAATCGTAAATTATCCGAAAATACTTTTTTCACACAACAACATTGAGCTGTCCTACGGATTATTTTTGCATCAATCTTTACTGAGTTTCTTCAAATTCTTCAACATTTTACAGAATTCTAGATTTAATGCTGCGAAACGCGTTTTCTTTGAATGAAAACGTAGTGAAATGAGTTTTCTAACAGAAGATAACTGTAGAATACACTCTGATGTTCAATACTAGCCTAACTTCGAAACAGCCTTAGAAAACGACGTAATTCGTTGAAGTTTTAGAAGAACTTAATTCTGACCTTGGCTAAGGAAGACCTGCACCGCCATCCTGAGGATCAAAAACAATGCAATCAGCAAATTTTTTGTAAAACCATTTCGCATAATTTCCAAAATCATATCAGAGTTGACTTTTCTTAACTCACATGCTTTTTGAAGATGAATTGGTGCGAGATGCTCTAACAAAAGAGATCAGTTTTGCATCATTCGAAGCGTAACCGATGCAAATGCATTTTAAAAGGACCTGTTTCGCGTTTTCTCCGAGTTGTGGCTCTGTACAATGCTTTTCTTGTCGACTTAATGAGTTCAGTAGCGTTTCATTTGGGAAATGCTTCGAAACGTAATCGCAAAAAGAAGCGTTTCGTATCGTTTCAAAACCTCAAGGCAGCAAAACGCATTCTATATAAGTAAAAATACTGTGAAACGTATTCCGTCTCGAAGAAACGCTGCGAAACGCATGCCCCAATCTTGGAGACGCGTTACGCAGTGCGTTTCCTTAAATATTTTACGCCATGGGTACTAATAAACAAGATAATATTTATTTTCGTTCATATTATACTCAAAAACCAACTATTGAGTATCGATCAACAAATAAATGTAAGTTTATTTTATAAAAAAATAAACAGAAATCTTATTTAATAATTTAAGTTAAATATTTTTTTATGAGATAAATAACATGAATTCTTTTATTTAGATATCAATGCAAGATTCAATTTAGCAACATGGTCTATTAATGATGTTTCGAGATGGCTTCGATCATTTGATGAAAGTTATCATATTTATATTGATATATTCAGAAAAGATATGATTGATGGATTTCGTCTTTTCCGTTATATTAATGATCATACTTTAAAACAATATGGAATAAATAATAAAGATCATCGAGAAAGAATTGTCGATGAAATTCAATATTTAAAACAAAATCATAAGAGCATTGTGTGGTCTTCAATAAGATAACTTCTTTTTTTTTAATAATTTTCTACAATTATTTGTGACAATTATTATTATTTGATCATATTTGAATTGAATTAGAAGAAAATAATACTTAGGGCATACCAAAAATAGTGAGCCTTATATCTTATTTTCGTATAGAATGCTTTAAACAAATTTTCTTTTTATAAACAGATAGAGCATCTTTCACTCTATTTTTCTATGCTATTTGATCACTATTCAACTAATATTATAATAATAATATTTTGATAAGATCTGTTTCTTTCTCATATGTGTTGGTACCATGAATGCTCGCGAGTATTTTTTGAATAACGTTTGATAGCAACAATATAGAGAACTGTGGTTTTCACCATTGGAAAGAGGAGACGAAGACACATCGAACGGTATGTGGTTAATTTTTTTGATACGATTTCTGAAGTTTCTTTTATTCAATTTTCTAACCATTCGAAAAAATGTTTTTCTCATAAAAAAAGAAAATGCAAAAAACTTGACAGAAAACCGTAGTAGAGCTTCGTTTAGAATATGTATTATTCATAAATAATTAAGTGTAAACATCTGAGTCTTTCGCAGTTTGTAGATCTTGAATTAGCAATTTGAATGTAAATCTGTTTATTGAATATTCACTGTAAACAACTCACAGGATAGGTTTGTTCTTTAAAAGGTCAATTGAAAACCTTACAAAAACCAGGCTAGCAAAATCAGTAATATGTGGCTCAATGCATCTTCATTCCCTCTTTCCAATGGTGAAAACCGCACTTCTTTATCTTGTTGCTATCAAACGTTATTCAAAAAATATTCATGAGTATTCATGTTCATGGTACCAGGACACATGCAAAAGAAACAGATCTTGTCAAAATATTATTATTATAATATTAGTTGAATAGTGATCAAATAGCATAGAAAAATAGAGTGAAAGATGCTCTATCTGTTTATAAAAAAGAAAATTTGTTTAAAGCATTCTATACGAAAATAAGATATAAGGCTCACTATTTTTGGTATGCCCTAAGTAAATTAACGAAAAACTTATCATCGCTATAGAATCATCGTTTTAGACTTGAGCAATTTTAACAAACAAATTGTTCTACATATGTAAGTTGTACAGCTTTTCATACTGCGTCTCTTTTGATATATGAAAAGATGAAATAAATTATTCGTGTAGGAAAAAAGATGGTCTTTTCAAAGCATCGAAAGATTAGTCGAATACAATTTTGCTTTTTTTGTTTTTGAAAATAAAAAGTACACAACTAGAATGAAATTTACTTTGTAAATTGTAAAGCGTTTTACATTGCATCTTGTGACATATTTTGTTTTTTAATACAATGTATTAAGTGATTAAAAAAATGCAATGCAGAATTCAACTGTTTAATGTTTTCCATCCATTATATTTCACGAATGACAGACACATAACAAACGTCTTTTATTAACGCTCTCGCTCCTTGAGCGAGAACCTTTATTTTTACACAAAAAGTACAGTTTTAAATGCTCATTAAAATGATTTTTTAATTATTGAAATTGCTCAAGTTGTTTCAAAAATATATCGATAAGAAAATCGCCGCGAACTTTTTTCTACCTCTCACGAAGCAAATTGTCATTAGAAAAATACAAGCTTTTAGAGCTTGTCAATGAGTATGATTATTTAATACTCGAACTATTCGATAGTACATAGATAAAAAAACAAGTTATTCGCTCTTTCGTTCTGTTTTATCATCTATATCAATATATTGCATTGTAAAGAATGTATCATAGAAATCAACGTCGACTCAGCGATTATTCGAAAGCAAATTCTAGCTAAAAATAAATGACGCATAGACGTAATTGCGTAAGAGTTGTGAAAGATATTTTTTTATTTTAAAATATAAGTCATAAGTATGATGCATCACAATATTCAATTCATTGAAAGTACGATTAAATAACCGTTACTCTTTAATGACCTCATGTTCATTTAAATCAACACATAAAATAACACCAAATTTATATCTTGGTGATGCAAAAATCGCTCGAAGTAAATATTTTTTCGAAAATAATAACATTCATGGCATAATTAATGTCACTTCTAACGAGCCAAATGCCTATCCTGAATCAAATGATTATTTACGTGTAAATATCTATGATAAACCAAGCGAACAAATTCGTCCATTTTTTCAACATGTTTTCGAATTCATTCGACGACATCATAGTCTTGGTCATAGTGTGTTGGTTCATTGTCAAATGGGTATTTCACGAAGTGCAACACTTGTCATTGCATATTTGATGATCGATGGACATAAGACACTCGGTGAAGCTTTTCAACAAGCCAAAAGTGTACGACAACAAATCGATCCTAATGAAGGTTTTATCAGACAATTACGTGAACTGGAAATATCATTGTTTGGTCAGACAATGACTCTGGAACGTATTACATTTCTAGATCTTAGCATCGAAGAATCATCCAAAGTTGTTATGGATCATGTGCTTATAGCTCTTGAAGACTTTGTTGCAGCTTTTGCTGATGATGCATCTCTACAGACACTTGACATGCTCAAAGATAAACTTCTCAGATTAGCTGACAAAGTCAAACGTGATAATGTCACTGATTTATTATTCCATGGTATTTGCAAATGTCTGCGAATGTTAGGAGATGATGATTCATTAGATGCAGAAGCAAGGATTGGTCTACAACAAGCACTTTCTGTTTTGTGCACTTTCTACAACGTCGATATTAAAGATTGTCTCGACAATTTGACTAATACTAAAGAATGGAACGATCTCTGCATTGATGTACCATTAGTGAATCGATGGATCAATTATTTACGAGATAAAAGTTCTTCTGTTGACACATCGGAAACTGAATTCAATCGAATAAGCAATTTTGACATCAAAAAAGATATTTATTCAACAAATAATTATTAAAAGTCTTACATTGATAAATAAAATTTGTAAGAACCACAAGGCTACAACTAATCTCTTTTCACAGATATAATTGGAGAACTCTATATGTATTTGTTTATGTTACTCCGTATTTTTATGCAGCATAATTCCAGATACAACGAGGAAAATAAGGAGTCGTTCAGTTATTTTATCTTTTTCTCATAGAAGAAAGCAATACGAAATCAACAATTTGGTCACACAGTACTTTTTGTATTCGATAATTCATACCTATGGATATCTACTAAAATTCACTTCCATGACAATTCTGATTAAAATAATTACTATATTCAAAAGCAGGAGAGCCAAAAGAATCGTCTTATATAATTCAATATTCGTTCTTCGGTAAAATGTCATCTGAATAAATATCGAAGAAGACAAATATTTTCTTCTACTTCGATATATCACTTCAAAGTGAGAGAAAAAATTTACAGTGATAGACTAAATGATGTCATTTTGTAGTAGTTATGTGATCTCGAACATTGATCTGTTCCTCTGAATTCCTTAAAAATTCTAATACTGACAAAAGGTGACTTGATTCGGAATCATTCTGAGAAACTGAGAATAAACTAAAGCGGCTTCTGCTGGTTTCTATCATATAAAGTTCATGGACTTCAAAGTGATCAAAACATATTGTGGATCCAAATTGAATTTCCCTCTTTGTATTTCTTGTTTTTTTTTATTACAATATTCACTTTATTGCTTAACCTACTATATATAAAAAGAAAGTCCGAAACGTGCTGCGCCTTTTAGTATATTTGCAGTGATCATTAAATGCGATTTAAAATATAAACAGGGAGTATCCATCGGAAATCGCCAGTCGATCCAGTGACCATCTCCGATTTCGATGATAATTTTAGAATTTGTAGAGCTCGTTGTACTGATCATTTTGATACCATAATTTTTAAAAGTTGAGTTTATTTTGGTGAAAATATGCTCGAAATACTATAGATGGATTTTCTCGATTATTCTGAGTTTTTGCGAAACATGCTTCCTGTTTCTATTTGAAGGACGTGAATATGGATGTGGGTATCGGTGTGATTGTCAATGATAAAACGATGATCCACACCCACACCCAATCTCTTATTGATAAATAAGTAAATTGTTCATAAGAATAAATTATTTGCTCATTATTATCATCGATTAATAAAATAACAATTGCAAATGATATTTGCCATGAATCAGATAATACTCGAAACTTAATTTATAAACTTACTCGTTGATTCTGGTATTGACATTGATCACCATAATAACTTGGTGGATAAAGAACATATTTTTCTTGTTTTATTATTTTCGTCATTTAACCACATACGTAAATCAATACCATGATGACAACGAAGTTGATGTTGACTAGATATTTCAATTATAGATGAACTTGAACGTACTTCGTTTTCTATATATTTTTTTTTTGTTAGACCTTTGATCAACTTCTTCATTCCATCAAGGGTAAAATATATAATTGGTTCTTTTTCATAACGGTGCATTTGTTTGCATAGAATATGCTCGAGATCTGAACTGAATGAAAAGTTCACTGATCAACAAATAGAATAATATGTGGGCGATATTTCATTTTTTATACAAAATTTTTCATCATTTTCATAAGCACAATCATTATAATCTTATTACATTGTTCAGAAGAAGTGATACATGATTTTAGGCTTTGATTCATACAATGAAAATTATAGTGATTACTTATTTGATAATCTGTGTGACATTAGATTGGTTTATTCGCAGCTCCAATACAATCAACTTTGCCATCATCTGCTTTGTTAATCGTTAAATAAATTGATTTATATCAGGTGAAGCACATTGGTGTTGATCTGAAGAACAATTTGATGATGATGATGATGGTGATGATAGATCACAATCAAGTTCATCTTCATCATTAAGACAATTCCATAAACCATTACAATGAGTATAAATATTATTACATGGCCATTGTTCACGTTCAGTTTCATTTCGTCCGTTTATATTTATTGGTAATAATTCAGTAAATCCATCACAAATTATTTGAAATGAAATATGTTTTCTTACATATCAATGTTTCATTTGTGATTCTTCATCATTCAATTCATTTATATCTATAATTTCTTCTGTTGTACCAATATGATTAATCGAAATTATATTTTCACCATCACTATTAGGATAATTATCTATACCGTTCATGAGACGATGTATAGAAATACATTTTAATGAATTGATACATCAATACATATCCGATCTATTACAAATTGTAGAATTATATATGTTTCTTGATATTGCTAAAGTTTCGGATGTAATTCTTGCAAATATAATAAGATTAATGAAGTGACTTCGGTTTGCATCAGAAAGAATGGATCAATAAGACGATGACACATTAGAGTATTGAATAACATAACTGAATAGTTGTATATTCCATTTGATTATAGCATATATAAGGAAACTGAAATACTCGATGGTCCAACATTGTTGATTTGTATTTTTCATAGACGAAATAAATATCAGCAAATAGAACTGGAATAGTTGGAATATACAACATATCTGGATATTTATGCTCAATAATTTCAAAAAACATTGTTTTTACAAAAAGCAGTACAATTTAAATTAAATAGATACTGTAAACGAATAGCAACACATATGAATGCAAACCAATATTGATCAGATATTGAGTTGTCTTTTATTGAATACATGCTTTTAATTATTAATTGTTCACGTTGTAACATACAAGAATTTGTTAATGCACCGGAAGTTTTGAAATAAACAGGTTTATTTTAGTAAAAAAACTAACTAAGCTTGGTTTTTGGTAATGCACAAACATATATTTTTCTCAGCTTTTCGGAAAGAGCTTTTCTCTTAGGAAAAACAATCTAGGAAACTTTTAAATGAATGAGAAGAAAGCTCCGATTCTGGGCTTCAAAATGATATAAGACACTTGATGATCATCGTTATCTTTGCTTCATTAGATACGTTTTTCTTTGTGGCTTGATGAGTCATCCAATATTAGCAGTGATCATTAATTTTGTTTCCTGCATATGTTTTCGTTCAATAAGCGTCAACAGAGGGTGTGGGTGTGGGTGTGAGAATAAGGCGCACACCCCACACCGAGACCCACACCCACCACTCACACCCAGAGGCCGCGGAAGCGGGGGGGGGGTGTGGGGGAGTGTACACCCCCCCAATAATTGAAAATTTTCAATTTTTTCCAGCGACAAGAGTAGATTTTTTGTACGTGTTGGGCTTATTTTGTGAAATTTTATTGCAAATAGCCCCTTTACACCCTCCCAATCTTAGGACCTTCGCGCGGCCTCTGCTCACACTCACACCCAGACCCACACCCAGACCTACACCCACAACTCACACCCAGACCCACACCCACCAACCACACCCACACCCTACATCCCTTCTTCAGCTGTCATGGAAGAAATTCTTCTGAACTCAATGGTATTCGTTATAATTAACTGGGAACAATCGCCATTCGCTGAAAATCATCAAACAAACTCGAAACTGTGATCTGCTACAGGAATGCTTCTTCGGTGATGTAATCTTCTTTCGTGTTATCTGGAGACAGATATATATATGTATTAAAACTTTTTCATTTTCATTTTTTCTCTCCTTTTGTGCAGTTCTGATTTTGTTTTGAATTTCTATTAATACTGCGTAATCCATTGTTCATCGTTGTGAAAATGCAACGTACTTATTTCTTAGAAATCCACTAAGCTTTAATGTAGATATATAAAAAAAAGGAATAGAAGTTACGAAAGAAATCCAGTTTACAGATTTTCTTGTTTCAACGCAGATAGGGAAAATTAGATCAAAAACCACTGCTGTTTATCCGCACCAAATTGTCAGTATGGTATTCAATTTACTAGAATCACAAAATTCCAATTGTTGTTCAGTTTTCAGCCAATTTAGTAACTTCTTCATTGCCTTTTTTTCTCTTGAACGCCTTGATCTTTTTTCAGTCACAAGTATTTCATCTTCTTCACTATCGTCAGTCTCTATTCCTGACACATAACGTCGAAACCATTCATAGTGAAAACGAGTACACCTGAGACGTTTAAGTTTCTTCTTGCTAAATAACACTTCAACCATTGCTTTAATACTACTTGCTCGTTCCACCATTAATTCAACTGATTCGATATTTGGGAACATATCAGCAAAATCATAAATCGAATCTAGTGGGAATACATCGTCAATAGAAACAAACGATACTATCTGTTTCATTCTTGTAAGCAGTTCAGGCAGCGCTCTGATTTTAGAGAAGAGTTGATGAAGAGATCTTATGTCAAGGCACAACGTTTTTAAATTTTCTAGGCTTTTCGTCCATATTGAGTTTTCAAAACCTAGAGGGCTGTTGCATAGCTCTAATGCTGTCAATTGTTCGTAGCTGAAGTTTGAGAGATTCGCTGTACAATCGTCGAGTTGTAAAGTCGTTACCTTGGGAAATTGAGAATGAATTTCGTATGAAACAGATTTCAGAACAAGATATTTCACATTCTGAAACATTGTTTGCTGAAGTTGACTTGGAGTATCATCAGCTGCTACATGCGAACCCCACTTCGAACAGTCACGAGGGTACGGTATGGTATGAATTTCGTACGATGTGTTATTGTATCGAAACTGCCATTGTTTCAATGTTCTGCAGCAGAGAGTATTAAATGCATCGACCTTTCCTTGTATTTTTTCGTCAGGAGTAGCAATGCAGTAAAATTGAAGTTTGTTTAGATGCAGTAAATGCGTGGTGATAATTCTACGCCATTGTTGTGCATCATTCATGTCATGGCTATACGAACCAAATTTGAGGGACTTTAAATTCGGAATTGAGTGGAATAGGAGCTCAGCTTCAGCTAATTTTACATTAGCACCAAAAAATATTTTCAGATTTGTTAACATTGGTAGACAGAGGTCTGTAGGCTTGTTGGTCTAAAAAGAGAGAAAATAAGAATAAAGACATATCACTTCAATAATCCAGAACATTCAAGGCTGTTCTAAGTCAATATTTGTATAATTAACTGTGGTTCTTACTAAAATGCTTCACAGCTTTGTTATTTGGTCAGTTGCGACGGTATATCTTAAGAAATTTCGAGCTACAATTTCAAAATTCCTAACATCTGCAAGTAGTTGCTTCAAAACAATCAAACACTTTTATATTACCTTATCAGTTGTCGCAGATGTTGACTTAAGATTCTTTCGTTGAATCTCCAGATCCAATTTATCGTCTCCTAGATCTGATGCATCTTCCTCACTCATGTTATCGTCACTACTACTGTCGTTTTTGAAGAAATGCCTTCCAAAGCCGCATACCAATCTGTTGCTATATGTATGTTCTTCATCAGATGTTTCAATCCTATCAACTTCTAAATACTTCACATTTGGCGTAAATTTCAATAATTCTTTTAGATTTCGACAGGTTTGTGCATCACTAATTTTTATATACTCAAGTGATTCCAATGGGGTTTTGAGTTGTAAAATTGAGACAGCTGGAAGTGTAACATTCAGTGTACAATTCCTCAATTGTTTCATATTTTTGCTATTGATCACCGTTTCGTAGATCAATTTTCTTGTCATCTTTTTAGATATGTCTTCAGTATCGAGATCGATAGTCAGCTGTTTAAGTTGAAGGAATGTTGTTGAAAGTTTCTGTAAAATTGTAAAAACTTCTGAGTTCTTAATTTGATAAAGTGACAAGGACTGAAGTTGACTAAATTTTTGAAGATCAAATTGTTCATCAATAGGTTGTTCGGATCTTACGTCATTTTATAGAAATAGAAGGAGGATACCGAATGATGGCGTTCAAGTTGTACTCTTGATGATTTCTTCTGCTTGTACTGGTGCATGAAAGAAAAGGGGAGAGAGTTAAATGGCGTGAAGGAGCCGTAATATCGGAAAAGCTACCAAATAGACGAATTAATCCGACTGCATGTTCATTTGAAAGTGTAATAGATACAACTTGTTGTGGTGCAACATTTGCATCAAGCCATTCGCAACAACGAATAAATGATGATTTGGACAGCTCATGTAAATCAATTTTCAATCGTGCTGTGGTGACTAATCGGTCATATCGACTGTTGATACCATAGAAGGTGTAGAATAGTTCATGGGCGTGGAAGTAATTAAAAACATCATAGCAGAATTCATTGGGTAAATCCTCGAATTTTGTACGGTTCTAAAAGCAAGACAGAGATAAAAGAACTCTTTTGTAGGACATCTCTAATCGAATCAAAAAGGAGCAGTCTTCTTCTGACGAAATTGTGACTGCATCTTTTGAGCAAAAACAATTTTTTTTATTGTAACTTTTTTTGTGTCTGTCTATGTGGCTCAGACACCATTGCAAAGCTATCAGAAGTCAAGCCACATAATCTTCTTTTTTTTCTGTAATCTAACCAAAATTTCTTTTACGTCGTTCACATATTTTTACTTTTTTACTCGTGTCCGAATCAGGATGTTCTGCTGATGTTGTTGGTACTAGTTTGTCTTTAATCTGTTCACTTTCATATCTAAACAAACATAAAGATTAGGCAAAAAAATCAAAATAAAGATTTCATATTATTTTAAATACCGATCAGATGATTCCGTTAGTTTTCGTGTTTCAGACATGTTTCATAAACGCTGAATTAGTGCAGAGGAAGGAGGAATCGAAAAATCTGAAAAACACTATAACGTCTAAAGAGTACTATATATACTTGAAATACAAACTTTTTATTTCCAAAATCACTTACTAGACGAACATATACCAAACCTCTCTGAAAAATCCTTTAAAATAAATATTTCGAAATGAAAGGGAACAGAACAGTACGAATAGTTACTTATAAGACAACAACACAGAGGAAGACGAAGTGAACTGGAATATTTATTTATGCATTATTAATATTCTTATTTTAAATAGTTCGATGAATAAAGAAAAGAGGAGAACGAACGAGTAGAAGCAGAAAACAGAGACATGGAGGCGATACTTTTAAAAAACGTAAACTACTCGATCCAAAAAGTGAAACAAGGCAGAAGGTGAAAAACTATACTTTCCTTCAAAAAATCATGCCGTCACAAAAGGAAGTGATTGTCGTAGCATGAGTTAAGTTACAAGTATCTTCAGTTCTTCTGAAACACCTGACCTGTTCGTCAGATTAGTCACTTTACTCGCAGCATTTACTCACGAAGAGTATAATTCTCTTCCTCATTTCGAAGCCTACCAAAAAAAAACTAAGCTTCTTTCACCAAAAAGCATACATAAATAATCATATTTATAACTTATTTCTTTGACAAGAAAGGAGTGAAATTTGGAGGCAACAAACATCAAAAATACATATACCAGTTGTAGGATAAAATCTTTGCATGTTCTCATAAATACTTTTTCTTTTCAGTTACAAATAAGACTCTTTCGAAGAACAAATAACCTCATTGTTTGATAACATAAGTAGTAAGATTTTTATTGCTGAACTTTCAAGAGTCCGTGCGTTGAAAACTGTAGTTGTCACCTTTTGGAGGTCCAAGAGAGTTCTTCGACACTCGCTATTTTGTCTGCAGCTAAGAATCGGTTGATGTGAGTGTGACTGTGTCGTTTAGTGAAGACAACCCCACATTCACCCCGAAACTCACACCTATACCCTATTTATTGTATAAGAAAAAAATTCTGTTGAGCATAATTAAGACATTAAAAAAAAGAATGGCGTTATCCATCTACTAAACCAGAGGACGCTCGAAGATCACATGATCAGTTGCTCGAGATAGGTATCGAAAATATCACTAACTATCCCAGAGAACACAGATCGCACAAGTAATCATGTTATCAACACTAACTGGCAGTTACTTCAATAAACAATAGACAATTTACATTGAAAAACCTCATTTCCCAACCTATTGTCTCTTATTTGGGGTGTGGGTGTGGGCGTGTAGGTGTGGATATGGGTGTGGTGTGGATGTGCGTTTGAGTTAAGAGAAGACCGATACCCACATCACACCCGCACCCTTGGTGCTTTGCTCAGTCAACACAGCATCTAATTGCGAGTGATGTAACGAGAAGCTGTACTTTTTGTGACTACTGTAAGTTTCAACTTTCTCTCTTTAGTTTAGACATTTGGTCATGTACAACACCTCAGTAGTACTGAAGTAGGGAAAAAACCAATATTTTAAGAATTAATACACTTTCTTCCAAAGTTTATTCGTATATAGTTTGGTAAAGAATTTATCACTACGCAGATTTTTTAACTTTAGTTCGAAGTGAAAAAATTCACGATAAAAGTCTCTCTAACAGTTTGGCTGGTCCACTACTAATACTGTTCAGTCTACATACCTAAAAAAATGCTTCTACAATTTTTCACTCAACTCTTTCTATTCTTTACTTGTTAAGATCTTACTAAGTTTCCTTTATATTCTAATTCTCTTCCATTATCTTGTTTAAGATCTTGTGTCTTCATACTTGGCAAGACCTTAGTAAGGCTTGACTAAAATTCTTTTGGGTGTGGGTGTGGGTGGGTGCCTTCTGTACTCACACCCACCAACACCCACACCCTTCAGAAAGAAAATTCGAAAACCAGTTTTCGCAGGATGTCACAGAGTATAAAAGTCTTGCTCAATCCTGTAGACATCTCTATTTCGAAGTAAACAAAGAATGAAAATATCGTGAGTGGAATAACTTTCGGTCCAATGGATATATCTATTACACAAAATAATTCTGACGACAATGCATTATACAAAAAATAGACCTATGTAAGTTTAGTTTTGTAGTATTTCTAACCTTGAAGAATCACAATAGCGATGTGCAAGATGAAAAAAAAACAATAGTATTTAACTCTGAAACTCAAATAAAAACAAAACTATACAGGTGATGTAACATACTTTGAGCCGCGTTGAGAGTATATATGCTATCGTTTGCTTTCGATATACACATATATATGCTTTTTAATACTACTTGCTGAAATACTAACAGCAAATTCGTATAATTATACGATTCTGTTTTCTTTTTTACTTCGGTCTGAAATAATTTATTTTTCTTTTGCTTCTGATCGTTGAAAATAAGCGAGAACAAAATGAAATAACGATCAAAAAGCATAAAATCGTATTAGTAATCGCACCATTAATAATCGTTACTCTTTTATCGTACATAAAACGAAAAACGAGGATTGAAGGACACGATCTTGTTAGTATATTGAAACCCATGCGAGCTTTCGTTTGCTTGCTTTACGGTTTGGTTTCGAAATACAATTGCGTCGTAGAAAACATTATAAATTACTAATTGAATATATTATCACAATAATTGATGCGGGCTGGGTAGTGTGGGTGTGGGTGGTGCGGGTGTGGGTATGGTTGAAAAGAAAAGGAACGCCCACACCCACACCTACACTCTCCCACACCTACACTCTCCCACACCCACACACCCACATCCACACCCCCACCCACCCACACCCTCACACCACCCACACGCACACGCACACCCACCCACACCCACACCCACCCACACCCACACCCACACCCTATACTATCGAAAGAAAGAGAAAGTAGAAGTGGCTTTCAAAAAGACTGAAATTCCACACACTAGCACAGTGCTAGTTGCGAGTTTCTTATTAACACCTACCTTTTTTCTCGGTTCTTTACACGGAAGGAAAATTGCGTATTACTCGCTTTATATAGATTTGTTACTAACAATCCAAATGGATACTCAAAATAACATTTTTTTTTGTTTATTATCATCAAAACTGGAATGAAATTTTTCGTTCTCCCTATAAGGTGAACACACAAGCGATTCTTCTAAATGAAAAGAAAGAGAGCTCTAATGTAAGTTCTAAGTTTAGTTCACTTGTTGCTTCAAAAACGTACCGCACTACCAGTATGTCAGAGGAACCTCTGCGCACTTAAGTACCTTAAGATTAGAACCCCTCGGGTTGGTCCCAAACCCAGGCCCGGTTGGATTCGGGTCTGAAAATTTTCTATTGACCTGGCCCGAGCCCGGATTTGGCCTCATTGGTGCCATTCTGAGAAAAAGAGTCAATTATAAGTTGATTCTTATAAGATCATGATCGAGATTGCTTCAGAACTATTGAGGGTGTGCTTCTGGGCGATTATGAGATGCGAATTGAAAAAATTTCATTAAGTGTCAAGAGTGCAATTCGGGGCGAATCCAGGTCCAGATCTGAAAAAGTTTAATCAATCGGGTGCGGATCTAAAAAATGTTCAATAAACTGGGCCCGTATTCGGGTCCAAAATTTTTGGACCCTGCGGGCTCTACTTAAGGTAGTTATAAGAATTTTATGAATAATCTAACAGTTCACTATTAAGATGCGTCTAAGTGTTTAACTCATTAAACTGTTCAAACATTTGTCATCACCGAAGCTTTAGAATCCTGCAAGTGCTGGAAGAATTACCTAACTACTGAGACAATTTTCGGCAGACCAGGGTGTTGGTGTGAGGGTGTGGGGTGTGGATGTAGGTTTGGGTGGGTGTTGCTTCATTAATCACCCGCACCCTTCTGTACCAGATCAACAATTACCATCAGGACCAACAAAACAATGTTCTGCATGTAAATTACCATACATTTTTTCGTCCAAAGCTGACGAAGAACGACATATGATGTGAATACATCAATTAAATGTAACATCAAACAACAAACGAAAACATACATCATCTCCAAGATCACAATCTATATCTCAACCAAAACAACGAAAAACTAGAACATGTGAGCTTTCTCTTGAGTATTAGAAAGAACACATTGCGTATTCTAAAAATATTGTTGTGTAACTTACACAAATAAATAATGACTAATAAATATCGATAGTTTAAGTTATTCTAGAATGCGCAAAAAAAAAATTAACAATTGTATTTGTAATGAAAAAAAATTTCGTATTTATGATCATCTAAATAGTATCGCATTAAATTTATCCACATACATGAACATTCACGATTTTAATATGAAATCGATAGCTTGATTAGTGAATAATACGTTCAAAGAGAGTAATTGATAATCTGTGAAAAAAAACAATCATGAATGAATGAAAAGCCGATATATAGTCAAATGTTCGTCAATATGTATATAGAGAAAAGAATGAATAAAAGCAAAGGAGTGGGGGAATAGAAAAATAAGGAATAAGGGAATCAAGGAATGAGGAATAAGGGAATAGAGGAATACGAAATAAAGGAACAGAGGAATAGTGGTGGAACAGTGAAGGAATATAGGAACAGTGGAGTAGCGGAACGATGGAATAAAGGAATGAAGGAACAACGACCGACCGACCGGAATATATTTTGAAGTGCTCCCTGATCTCGTTTTTTCTGTCTTATAATAATGACGAGACATTTTTTTCTATTAGTTTCCACACATGTGTTAGTGAACTGTTTAATGTTGTTCAAACCTGTCAACACTAATATAAATAAACGCCGGTGGAAAATTAAAACGAATGAAAGTTCTGAATAACAGAAAACCTTGATGTAATAAACAAAAAATCGCTAGCTCACATTTGTAAGAAACCAAAAAAAAATACTAAATTTTTTATTTTCAATCACAGATCATAGTTTTAACTAGTATTCGTTAAGTATATGAGTGAAGAGCACAACCATTGTACCGTGCGGTCTGGAAGAGAAAAATGCTTATAAGCCGAGTTCTACTCAAC